CAACAATAACAACGGCAAATAGAGGCTGCGACCGCTTGATGATTGTTGCACATACTCGTACATGCGAGCGTACAACATTTTGCCACAATTGCATTTAATGACATTTAAGATTCTATTACAACGATTGCAATTTGTAATTTAGTCCGTTTGGCTGACTTGTGTTCGTCATTAGAATGGGTATTGTTGCTCTTGTTGTTTGCTTTCTAATGCAGGCGTTGCGGCTGTTGTTGCAACTATTAATGGTGTCGTTGTGGTCGCAATGAGCCATTTCCTCTTTGGCGTATATTAAATTTAACGCGATTGCACATTTCGCACACGAGCACGCACGCACTTACATATACATACCTACACACGCATGCAGGAACATAACCATATGCGTTTATATGCTCCCCTTGTTCGCTCCAAAGGCTGGAAAATATTATGACTCCATGCAAAAATATTGGGTAGTCGAAAAAGTACTTTCGTATTTTTTCAATAGTTGTCGTTGCAATCCGGTGCCACCAATCGCATTGTGTCATACCATATAGTGTGGAAAAGGTGAGATTTTAGGCGTCACTTAACCCAGAAATTAAATTCGGGGAAGTTGAAAAAAGCTACAGCTGTTCAAATATGAGTGAAAATAATGAAGAAATTCGCTATATTTTGAAATTTTTGTATAAAAAAGGGAAAAATGCCACGCAAGTCACCAATGAAATTTTTGTAGTTCACGAAGACGATGCTGTATCAGTTCTACTGGAGTCCACATATGAATTCAAAAATCGACATATTGAATATCGTCCATGTCATGTAATATATAGCAAATCAAAAAGGTGGAAAAAATCGCTTTGCAAAAGGTAAACCCTTTGAGAAGTTCATATAATTTCTACTGGACGAATGGAAAACTAACGAAAAAGTGTTTCTCACCTAATAATATTCCGCAATAATTTAAAAATACCACGTTTTTCGTACACTCAAATGTATTTATGCTCGTTTTCTCAATATCTGGTTAGTAACCAACTGTCAATTAAGTTATGGTTAACTTATACAAGACTCCTTCTTACAATAAAGTACCATTTTCAAATCAAAACTTAATCTATACACAGTTACTGACCAGACATTTAGAAAACGGCACTTAGTCTTCCTCTTCTTTATTGGCGTAGACACTGCTTACCCGGTTATAGGCGAGTTTACAACAGCTACGGCTTTAGTGTCCATTTCACTGGATGTTTTTTTTACATGGCGGATCCCAAACTCAGCACACAACCATGGGACCCTTAATACATTAACATTATAATTGAGAAATCAGTTGTTGTTAAGATTAAGGGGTCAGTAGGGTAATCTTTTTTCAATTTCTTTTCTTTTTTTTGCATTTTCTGTTCTCTTATACCCTTAGAATTAAAGTAGAAACCCACTTTACCATGGAAGATTTCGAAAAAGGATCAAAAATAATAATACCATTCAACGTTCGGAGCGCTCGGAGTGCACACCTCAAACTAAAGGCGTTTTTCTCAAAAAACACTTTTTTAAACTGACGGACATGATTCCGGTCGAACTATACAACCGATTCAATGTTCAAAAAACCCCTGATTATCGTCCCAATAATTTTTATAATTTATTAACAATGTTAAGACAAAATGTATGTAAAAAAACATGCGGAAAAATAAAAAAAACCCGTTAATTACTTCTTTATTTAACAAAATTTTTTCATTATTCTAGTAGAGACGATAACCATTCAAGTACCTTTTAAGAATAAATTGGGTTTTTGTATTTCAGGTGATCCAGACATGAGAAATCGTGTCCGCCAGTGAAAAAACGCATCTCATTCACCCAGCCACTTCTCCGACAGATGTCATCAAAAAATTCCAAAAACAAAATTGTTTATACACTCCGCGATATACTCGTATGTATGTATCTCATGATTTGTGAAAAAAGTTCTGTTGTAAAACAAAAACTTCTATGAAAAATAATGTCAAAAAACAGGCCAGATTGTTGCAGTGTGGACAACAACCCGCAGAGTTGGATTCCAGTTTCAACATGATTTTACTTCAATTAGGAATTAATGTACTAAATTAAGATTTTTACTTACTTCATATGGTAAATGGATCTAAATTAGCGCTTTAATCGCGCTAAGGTCGGTAATTGATCAATTAACTCCAGCGCAAATAGCAATGATTACTATAATTCCCACACTTCATTCAATTAACACCAAGAGAAGGGCCAAGTATTATATGCAAATAGGTTGGTACTTCGAGTTCTTGCCGAAAAAATTGTATGAAATCGACCAAAAACATCAGAAAGGGCCAAGAAAATTTGGAGACCTTTTGCATGTAATCATCAAGTTATTCATCTAAAAATCTTGCTCGACTTCAATTGTAACCAAATCAGATCACAAATACGGCCTTTTCAAATAACTTGATTCCAGCGACATCTATTGTATTTATAATTTTTAGGAACACGCAATAAAATATCATTGAACATTTCTGCGTTAATCATTTTATAGTTTCGCAAATTCTCAATTTCTATTTCAAGAAGTAACTTCTAAGCTACAGGGATATTCCAAATATCATTCATATACTGGAAAATACACATGTATATATAACTGAAGGCATAAGCAACACAGAAAAGCATAAATTAATAGCTTCAACGCTTGATTGCAGCCAACACACATGTTAAGCGCTTTGGGGCTAACTGCACCACTCACTTGCAAGAGGCTGGGCGACATGCTAAGCGGTGGCCTATTCACATACATTTACTATATACATACATACAGATATTCATACCTACAAACTTTGCGTACAAACAGTTATGATCACAACAGCGAGCGCGTGCTGCTCACATTGGTCAACATATAAAAGGCAATAATAATGACGCATTTTTATGGTAACAGCAATTATCGGCTTAAAGCGTTAGAGTCGCAAGTAAATAAATAAAAATTAAAAATATAACGGGAATAGGGAAAGATTGGAAAGACATAAAAACAAGCACAGATTGCCACAATAGAAATTGTTATTATCATTATGGTTTTTATGCGCACTAAGGAATTACAACAGCAACAACAACATTAATATCGAAGAAATGTGTAATGCGACATGCAAATATTAGCATAACAACAAATGCATTTATAGAAATTTCAAGCTCAGCTCCAGCATGGATGGCGAGCAGTAAATATAATCATAAAATAACCGTAAAACTGCACCGCCGTGCCCACGTACACTTGTGAGCGAGTATATACAAATGTAAGTATATGTGTGTGTTGTTGTATTTAAAAGCGCATGCAGCAGTATAAATCACGTTAACTGTACTAAATACTAACGCCAAGTCAAACAAAATGCCTGAACATAAACAATGCGCCTGGCTTATGGGCTAACCACCGAAACCCGCCCGAGTTGCGGTGCAGAGGTAACAAAGTTGCGCCGCCTGCTTGCAACAAGTGCAGTGGAGCACCTGTAGCACCTGCGGCAGCAGCGGCAGCAGCGCCACAGTGAGTCGGCGCAACTGCCGCTGCCATATATTTGTGCTCATGTAAATATGTATAGTGTGTACACATATGTATGTGCATATGTGCCGTAATTAAGTGCTTGCTTTGGTATGGCTGCGGAAGCTGCACCGCGCGACTGTGTTACAGTTATGCTTTATTGCATTTCGGTTTTTAGTAGATGTGTTCTAATTGATAAGATAATTTTTTGTAAGAGATTTATGTCGTTTTAACTAGTTATTCAATTTAATGCTGACATAAATGCATAAAAGACCCAGTAGACTACCAGCCAGCGCAGCTACTTGGCAATGCCTGCTTACCCATTTGCTTAGCGGTATCATTTTTATGGCGAGTTAACTCTTTTTGTTTAATTAATAATTGGGTTAAAGCAACAATAACATTTTTCATTTCTACAAAACTATTTATTTTAAAGTTGTTTACTTTTGGAAGAATAATACAAACAGTATAAGTACACAAATTATACACAAAGGTGTCAATTGGGAATAGTCTCCACCGAATTTTGGACTAAAATGGGGCTGTATAAGTTACATGGGTTTACAGGTTTCAAAAACACGAATTTTTTAGTGCTTCATTGAATTCTACATCACAAGTAGGATATTACCCTAATTTTTCAAGTTGATTCGACTAATAGTTTCGGCGATACAGTCTTGAGAACTTGTGCGCTCGATGCTAGCTAGGCTAAGTGTGCCGTTTTCAAAAACACATTTTTCTGGAAACTGTGTTTCGAAATCTGTTAAAAAGATTTCTTCAGAACTACTTAACTGGTTTTCATAAAGTTTTACACAGGTATTTGAGATACAATTCTTTAAGACTTGGGCAAAGGATTTTTTTTCGCTTACAACTATTTGAAAACAATTTTCGCAAAATTTCCAATTCTTGTTTTTTTGTAAAAATGTCTGCCAAAAATCCAATTTTCAGTTTTTTTCCTACATCGTCCAAGTTCTAAGTTAAGGTTTTAACTAAAGCACGTATTTTTTCACTTTAGATGATGCTGTAAGCAGTTATCCTGCCACGCGGGCGCATCTTTTTTCCGAGAGGTCATCGGAAACTGCGTCGCAGTGGCCGAGTTTAAAATATTTGTTTTCAAAAATTTCAGAATTTCTTTGTTAATAGTGTAATAAAAAATTCTATAAAATATTGCTTTTTTCATATCAGAAAAAATTTTTGAAAAATGCTGGTTTTACCCGAGGAAACCCATGTAACCCCTTAACTGATAAATTAACCGATCTTCGCTCGATTAAAGCTGTACTTTATGTCGATTTACCATACAAAATTTATCTTAATTTAGTACATTAATTCTTAAGCTAATTCAAGTTGATTTCGCAACAATTATGAGGGTTGTTGTCCAGACAGTAAATTTGGCTGTTTTTTAATCTGTGGGTTGTTGTCCAGGCTGTAAATTTGGCTGAGTTTGACTACGAAGGCTAAAAAAAATGAAATAATAACGTTTTCAAAACCCTAATCTAAAACCACTTTGAAATCAAAACTTTTTCTGAACACAGTTGGTTTTGACATTGCCTTTTGAAAATTGCTTAAAATTGACTTAAATCACAGTACAACTTAAAAAATCTAGAAAAAAATCTAGAAAAAAATCTCAGAAGCACATTTTGAGTCTACAACAAAACAAACACTGAATAAAAAATATTTAATTGAAAAAAGAAAAAAATCTTTTCAAATACTAAAAGTCACAGCACATCATCAAAAATTTTGCAAAATTTGAGAGCGAAAGCAAAAAATGCTCGCCAAGCATTTGCTGAAAGTGAGTAAGGCGCTGCGTGGCGGTAAGTACGCTGTCAGGCTTCAAAAAAATAAACGCAATTAAACTAGCTACTTATTTTCCCTCAATACCATTAGCGACGCTACGCAACGCCAGTAAGGCGCCAAGCACACCCTTCGCCGGTGGTGGCTTACGCAGCACCATGAATGACCTGCCGCAGCCGGAGGGCGATTGGCAGGAGCACTACAATCGTAGAAATCTGAAGAATACGGCTGTGCTCTCCGTTGGCATTATCACCTTGATTTCATCAATATATATGGTAAGCTAAAGAGTGACCCTAGTGTCGGGCGGCAGCTACTAATCACACACCAATCTATTCGTAGCATTTCACGGATGAGGCCATCAACTGGAACTACACGGTGCCTCTGTATGATAGATGTCTTTGAAGTGGTTTGAAGTGTGCAAATGACTTAATTATTAAATGATAAATCAAAGATTTTTAATATTCATTGTTTGATTTCTCCGTGTTGATTGTTAACGATATAGGTGAACACAATTACTAAGTATTCAGGCGCTGTCAACTAAGCAATGCTGCGCTAATCTTTGCTGTACTGTTTTTTTTTTTTTTTTTTGCTTTTTCCACAAAAATCCATTTAAGAAATAAGCACAAAGTGTTTAGCGTGAAAGCGCAGCTGATTAGTCCCCATGCACTTTCCACAAAACGAAATGGGTGAAATGCAACAAACCTCAACTCATTCACGGACCACAGAAATTATGTAAATTATGAGCAAAATGTGGGCCACAAATCACCTGCTGCACTGTCCATATTTCTCATACAAATTGGCTCAGTCTCTTGATGATGAACGAAATGGCAAAATCTCCTTGAAAATTAGACGAAAAGTTAGTAACGTTTTACTCCACTTTTCGCGGCTTAGCAGCCTTCATTAGTCAGGTAATATTTGTAAAGCTCGAACGCCATCAGCCACACCTCAACCCGTTACGCACATCCATTGATGACTGGATTTTCATTCAAGTCATGCGCCACTGTGCCACTGTGCCACTCTGGCGGTGAAGCGGAAAAATGCGGAACGAACTCAGAGCTGAATCGAAACATTGTAAAAAAGTGGAAAAAGGTTCGAAACTAAAATTGTACCAAGTATTCAGTCACCTCCCAGTCTGCAGCGAGCAGCAGCATTACTGGATTCGTCTCGGAAGTGGACGTTTTTCACGGCTTATCAGTTAAGTGGCATTTTTTGGTCAAAACGAGCCCACCACCAAGCTACCCACTAAAGCGCTTGATTAACTACACTTTCAAGCACATACACATACACACAAAGGTGGGTGCCTTGGCAGCAGCAGAGCTAGAAATTGTTAGAATTGGTGTCGACCCAGTTTGTTCAGCTGTGTGAGCGCAATTTGCATAATAATAGCGATAATCAACTGAGCCTCGTCGAATGATAGTTGTTGTTGTTGTATGAAATATAGCCACACTTTCGGGTATGTGGGTTACAACTGGCCGCCGTTGTGGTCACAATGCGCTTGCATGCAACAATGCTAATGGAAACCAGCTGTTGGTATTTGTATTTGATTGTATGCTGCATATGTGCGTATGTATGTCGATTATTATGTAGGCTTTCCATCATCTATTCAATCAAATAATTCACCTGTGTGCGCTATTTGCTCTGTCGCAGCTATTTGTGGGTGCTGTAGGTAGACGAGTGTATTGCTCTTCAGTCTGCCCAATTAACCAATTTGGGAAAGCAGTAGCTGAAGCATGCAAAAAAAGCATATTTTTTAGAGAAATTATCACTGCAGTTAATTTTGATTCTGCACCCGGAATCATCAAAAATAATATTGAAATGAATTTATCGTAAAATAATACTAAGGCTGCCTTTTGTATTTCGGAATTTGGTTACCCTAGTGTTGCAATCCGAAAACTCACAACTTTAACGTAAAGTTTCACATTTTTGAAATTATACATACTCAGACTATTTTGACATACCAATGCTATTTTTGGTGCTTACAGTAACTTAAAATATTCATCTCAGCCAAAAATTTAAACTAATTCCGAACATTTGATCACAATTATTTTTACAATATTCGGTGGGGATTAAATCATCAACAGTGCTTCGATATACTTAATTTAAGTTTTGACCATGAAGCTCCATCAAAGACAAGTATTTATCAATTTTATGGTGAATCAAGTCGAACTCACTCCAAATGAGTGAGCATTTCCAAAACCAGTTGTTCTTCCGGAAACTATTGCTGTGCCCAAACTGATATTGCAAGAACATTATGTGGTCCCACACAGCTGCCGTTCGCTCAAAAAAGGATCGTGTCGATTGCTCAAAAGAAAACAGGACTTTGATGAGTCCGATAGTAAACAGCAGTCGACTATATGGGCATTGCAAGATGAGTCAAATCCAACAAAAGTTGTTCGCACTCAAAGCTCTTCCCAAAAAAATAGTTGTCTGTTTTTTTTTTTTTCTTAAAAATGCGACATGTCGCCACCATATCACTAGAATAACGCAGAATAGTAACTTCTCAGTGATCCACATATTTGTTAGCCAATTGTCTTTCAAGTAATCAGAAAAACAAACCGCTGCTGACGGATCACTCTTCACCACGACAATGCGAGTTCTTACACATCTACTAAAAAAAACTGCATTTTTGACCACCCAAATAAACAATTTGATGAGTAAACCATCGTCTGGACTTTAGACTTGATCTCCGAATGACTTCTTTGTTGTGTTCGGTGCTTCGAAAGTACCGTAAACTCCAGACTTGATCACCGAATGATTTCTTCCCATTCCTGGACTTCGAAAATTGCTTCAAACGCATGCAATAGATTTTAATGCAGAATATTTTGAAACAAAAATTAGGTGATCTTCCTCTTTCCTCTATTTCTTTCCCTCTATAATCCTGAAACATAAAAGGCTACCATCGTAATAATAAGTCTGACTTGGGCAGTCTAGTTGAAATTGTCGAAAATACAAATTTTAAAATTTTACTGAGACTAAAGTTCAGGTTTGCAGCTTCAGGTTGCTGCCATTCCCGCATTGACAAGACTACATTGGAAGCAACTGGGGTACGCACGTACGATACACTGGAGGAGGTATCGCAAAGGACCGAATTAGTCTATGCTTGGCTTATTGGCCCACCAGACTAACCTAAGTTAACCGAAAGCTCAGGGTTGATTTTTTCTTCTGAAATGCCACATTGCATAGATATAGCAGTGTTGTAGTTGTTGTAAACGCTAAAGGTACTGTAGAATTTATAAATTGTGATTTACACAGTACTGTTATTTAAGCTCTCTGCTTGATAGTTGTTGTGGTAACTACAAATGTACTTGTAGAACTTCGCAGGCGCATCATTTTTTTTTTTTTTTTTTTTTTTTTTTTTTTTTTTTTGGTTTTTTTTTTTTTTTTTTTTTTTTTTTTTTTGTGATGGTTTTTATATATCCGTTCATGATTTATATGCTATTAATGACAAAGAATGGTAGACTTTGCTGTTGCAGCTACAACTTTAATGCTTATTTCTTTGTATTTTATTCCTTTATATTCAGTTTCCCTCCACATTGAAGATGGAGGATTTTACCTTCAATAGAGGTTTTTCCATAAATCCCAATACAGTTGCGATTATTTCACATGCTTTTAGCTATATCTTCGCGCATTCATTTTTCTATTATCATGCAACTATTTTATGATTGCATAAACGTTTTTGTGATTGTGCCACACATCAAGATTTCATGCAAATTCGTTGCATCCCAATTTACTAGTGACTTGATGAAGTTTTCTGTGGTAAAACCAAGTTTTTAAGCACATTTTCTCTTTATTAAAGATTTTTATGATTTTTCTGTTGTTGTTGCTGTTGCTGTTACTGTATCTGTGAGTGTTATTTCTCCATTAGTTGACCTGCATTAGTTAAATGTTATTTATTGCTCAAGCACTTGCCTGCATGAATGAATGACGAACACACACACACACATGCGTTGCTGTATGTACGGATGTCTGCTTTTGAATGGTCTACCGTCATTCTAGCAGCCGCTCAGCGCCACTCTTTCGCTTGCAACATTTTGTGTGCTCCACATCATTTACGAGTGTGTTTAATGCTTTCTTCTTTATGGCAGCTGTCATACCGCTGCCGTTTGCTCCCATTAACTGGGCACACACACACACACACAAACACATACATACATACGAGCTGATTTGTTTATTTAATTTTGTGTATGTGTGTGTGTGTGTGTGTGTGTTTATGGTCATGTCTGCACAATACCTTCATTTTTCATCTGCCACATATAGATTTCTGACAAGTTCTCCAGAAGTTGTTGCAGTTAGCATAATCGTTCTTAGTTTCGGGCTTTTCATTTACAACTTTTTAGTTGCTGCAACAAGCTTTTATTTGTTTCTTCGAGTTATGGGTTATAACGCTATACATATCCGTATACTTGTATATATGACATTTGGTTAGTTTTTGTAAGTTCACCATATTGCGCTGTTTTGTTGTTGTTTCACTATACATGTGACATGTTACTGTTAGCTGCACGTGACAAGTACTTAATGCTGCCCATTTCGGTGCCATTCAGCTCCCAGTTGGCGACTGTCATAATTTTCTTTCAATTTAGCTTTATTATGTTTCTCGGAAAGCGCGGAGATTTTCAGCGCAGTCGCTGTAGAAGAGCGGCGGCGCCAAAGTGGGTGACTGCAGACAATCGCCTCTTCGTCGCTTGTTTACGATAATCGCTCGCTGCTTTTGTTTTGATAATTTTCCAAAGAAATGGATAAGCAGCAAATTGGGTTAAAAGTGGCACAGACTCTTAGTTGAGAGATCTTCCAGCAAGTGAAGATTTATTACGGGGCTTATTTAATTCTTTTGTTGAGATTTAAAAAAAATGCGATTACATATTTATATACGCGTATTTATGAATTTTGATCCAATCCTAGACTGGTATATTTCAGACTAAAATCTGAGAATTTAGTTTAGATTTTGGTGAAATCTGGAATTTTGTACAAGCTGTTTCCTCTCTAAACAGCTGCTCACTTGTTGGAATCACAGATATCGGACTACTTTATCATATAGCTGTCATAGAAAGAGATCGATTAATATCAAGTTCTTATATGTAAACATTTTCATTTTACGAGATATCTTCAAGAAATTTGGCATAGATTATTTTCTGAAGCAATCATATAATATTCGAAGAAATTATTCAGATCAGAATGCCATAGCATATAGCTGTCATACAAAATGACGAATCCAAATCAAGATAAAAATATGTTATGCCTTTTTTGCTATAAGAAATGCATTTATGACAACTTCTTCTTATGTCTAAAACAAATTCAATAACATTTTTGAAGGCCTCGTCATTGATTTTTGAAAGTTACTGTATTACTGTGGGCAAGAAATAGTAAGACTTTTTATTTAAGTTCGCGTAAAAACCCATTCGTCGAAATATATATTTTCAAGGCTGGTGTGACTGTCAGTGATCTCTGTACCAAATCTCACATC